AAAATAAATGTAGCACTACCCCCCAGGAGTTATTGGGTCCCCCTATGGTCCTGCACAGCCAGGCAACACTCATTTTCTTCAGACCTTGCACACTGGAGACTGTAAACAATCCCTGAGCTTGTTTTTGTGGTTTTATTAGGGATATTGAACTTGGATGGGGTTAAGGGGTGTATGGGGGATACCCAAGGAACTGTAACTGAGGACAACTCCTTAGCAACTGTATACAAGTCCATAAACAGAAAAAGTCTCTCCTTGAAGAGCTCTCCAGTCCTCCTGGTAAACCCTCTTAGAGCCCAGATGAAATCTCCTCTTCACTCAGTTACCTAAGGGAATCCCTGGGCAAGGGGATCCAGAAACGGCCATTTTAAAATGCACAGTCCTGAGTGAGGAGCTAGTGAGCTTTCCCATCAGAATGGACTCTCTCCTTATCTGGCCCAGGGGTGTGGGGATATCCCCTCAGTCTTCTCCTGTAAGCTTGATGGGTTGGTGGCTGCCTTCAGGCCTTACGCAGGGCTGGCTCCTTCCCTACTTCCCAGGCTGTCCTCTCTCAGGGGACAGTTGAGGCTGAGAGATCCTCCTGTCCAGCAACTCTGCCTGTAGTTGCGCCCCTCTCTGGACCCAGTCCCAGGCTCCTGCATCCCAGCCTCTCACTCCATTTCCACCCAATTTCTCCTGCTGCTGAGCAGGCTCAGTCACACTTAAGGGGTGCCCTGATCCCATGCCAAGCCTCCTGCTTGGGGAATGGCCAGAGTCTCTTAAGTGTGGAGGTCAGCCCCTCCTCACCCCCACCCACTGCCTTATAGAAACTTCTCAAGTCTCTAGAGCAGGGGGATGTATCAGGGAACTGACCTGCAGAGCCCTCAGCCCTGACCTAAGGTGACTTGGCTGACTCACACCCAGGCTGCTGCTCAGCCTCTACTAAAAACCTTGCTAGCTCCCCCTAGCTAATCAGAGGGGCGCTACATAAAAAAAAGCAGTCTGTAAGGTTGGCTAATGTGTGGCTCATGGTAACGGAGCAGACATTGTCTTCATTGTTCTACCTACTCTAAAACTGAGAGTAGGAAATGCCGACACGTGTTCTATATATCGTCTCTCATGACTAAAGCCAGCGGTTTCCATGTTCGGGCCCCGGGCCCTTGCCTAAACCTGTGTTGCAGACATTATAGATGTTGGGTGTTAATGTGTTAAAATTAGTCACCCAAAAAATGACTTTTGCATAATTTTAATTGTCACACTGATAATGACATTTATGCTTTTAAAAGAACAAATTGCAATGAATTAAATTACACTTAATGTACTTAATTGGTGCTTAAAATGCTCCTGACCCCCGCTAATTAGAATGTTCCGGGCCAATAACACAGAAAAGTGAAATTTCATGTTTTAAGCTTTTTAACTTTTCATTCAGTCGCTGTCTACAGTTTGTATGTTTTGCACACGGATGACATCGAAGTTCCATGCATAAAAGTGGCTGAAGTTTTACCAAGTATAGAAATGTAGGGGGGGGGGGGCACCAGAAAGCAGGGGGGGGGGGGGGCACCAGAAAGCAGTAGTTTTGTTTCAGGTGGCTATTGCCTGGTCTTGCCATTGTGTCTGAACTCTGAAGCACTGCCTGTGGTAATGGAAAAGGGAAAAGTCCTGGAAGTCACCCGTTAGATGTCTAGAGCTCTGTCTTTGTCTGCACTCTGAGTGGTTGCTACCTAAGAGGACACAATGGAGCCTTGAGCAGCCCCTGTCAGTTTCGTCTGGGTCACATTGGTTGTGGTAAGTCACAATGGGGGAGCCAGTTATGGCAGAGATAGGGTGTCACATGCCTGTAGTCTGAGATGATGTGGGTGGCCTCTTGCAAAGTTCCCCAGCACCCCTAGAAGCTGAGAAAGGGTCTACAGGTCGCCCACCTCCTAAACGACATATCAGACTGGATGTCGCTCCATTTCCTCAAACCTAACCTATCCAAAACCGAGCTCCTGGTCTTCCCCCCACCCTGCGCCCCCCCCATCCTCTCCATCACTACTAGCAACGCCACCATCTCTCCCACCCCACACGCCAAAGTCCTGGGTGTCACCCTGGACTCCCACCTCTCCTTCCTACCCCACATCCAACTGCTATCTAGATCTTGCAGGCTCCACCTCCGCAACATCTCCAAGATACGCACATTCCTCACCCCAGACACCACCAAACAACTCGTACACTCCCTCATCATCTCACGCCTGGACTACTGCAACTCCCTCCTCACTGGCCTCCCCTCATCATCTCACGCCTGGACTACTGCAACTCCCTCCTCACTGGCCTCCCTCATCATCTCACGCCTGGACTACTGCAACTCGCTCCTCACTGGCCTCCCTCATCATCTCACGCCTGGACTACTGCAACTCCCTCCTCACTGGCCTCCCTCATCATCTCACGCCTGGACTACTGCAACTCCCTTCTCACCGGCCTACCCAAACGAACGCTATCCCCACTCCAGTCGATCCTGAACTCAGCGGCCAGACTCATCCACCTCACCAACCGCTCCACATCTGCCTCTCCCCCTCTGCCAATCCCTTCACTGGCTCCCGATTACCCAACGCATCAAATTCAAACTGCTAACTCTGACCTACAAAGCCATTCACAACGCCGCCCCAAACTACATAACTGACCTGATACCCAAATACTACCCTACCCGTGCCCTCCGCTCCTCACAGGACCTCCTACTCTCTAGCTCCCTGGTCTCCTCCTCCCACGCCCGATTGCAGGACTTCTCTAGGACTTCCCCCATCCTCTGGAACTCCCTACCCCAATCCATCAGACTGTCACCTACCCTCCTCACCTTCAGGCGCACCCTGAAAACCCTCCTCTTCAGGGAAGCCTACCCCAAACTCACCTAACACCTGACCTCACCTAACAACTTACCTCCTCCACTCCTCCCACCACTCCATCCCCCACAGCCATTTCCTCCTGTACCACCTTCCCCTCCCTCCTAGATTGTAAGCTCCAAGGAGCAGGGCCCTCGAGTCCCTCGTGTATTGTATTGTTACTGTCTTGTCTCATGTTCTGTCCCCCTCGCTACTGTACAGCGCTGAGCACACCCTTTGGCGCTATATAAATACTATATAATAATAATAATAACGTGCTGAAGTGCCGACGCTGTAGACGGGAACTCGAGAGCGCTGGTATCTGGTGAGCGGGGGTACAGCTGGCAGTGCAACGTGGATTTGCCAAGTTCGGTAAAAAGCAAAGTCAAGTCTCAAGCTTGGTCTAGCAACCGCCAAGTGGGAAAGCAGATGTAGGCAGGAGCAGCGTCAGATACAGACAGAGGTCAGCAACGAGTGGGCAGCGAGGTACGAATTTGATGGGCGGAAGGTGGTCAGCAGTTCGGGTTGCGTTTAAAGTGGTTTTGGATTATAATATACAGTATAGAAGCTCTGAAAAGATAATTGCTGAGCATTGGGGCATAAAGCATAGAATCCTTGGCCCTGTTCTCCCTTCTCGTCCTCGGTTCATTCATAGGCACCCTCTTTGAAGGATGTGGTGCAGAGGTGGTGGATCCACCCACACAGAGTGCAGAGAATACGATTTTTTTCCTTTTTGTCTGTTGGTCGTTGTACAGCCTGTACGGCTAATATTAGGAAACGTAAGGAATTCTCCATGGTGAGGAAATGTCTCCACAATGGCGGGAGGCAATTATCAGATAAAAGATCTTATTACGTGTAGTACACAGGAAGTGGGGTACATGTTGGAGTGTGCGTGTGGCCGCCAATATGTAGGCACAACATCTAGATCCCCTCAGATTAGGTTGGGTGAGCATGTTAATAATATCAAAGAAGGGGTCAAAGTTCACAGTGTCTCCAAACATTTTAGGATTGGTCATAACTGTGACCCCAGAGGTATAATAGGGTGTTGGGAGAGTTAATAGACATTGGAGGGGGGCGGGGGGGGGGGTAATTACATCTGACAACTAAGCCGTAGAGAATCCTTATGGATTTATGAGACCAAAGTTCTCACTCCTACAAGATTGAATGTCGAATTTGACCTGAATTGGTTTATTTCTGATCGATAATAAATTATATGATTTTTATTTAGATTTTTTTTTATTGTAAAAGATAGCCGCGGGTCATTTTTTTTTTCTATTATGATCATTTTTTGATGGTTTATATTATACAGGGCTTTTCTCAGAGAATAGGTGCAGGAACTCCCCCCTTCTGTGTCACCCCTGTATCCACCCCCTCCCCACCTCCAAGCACCGTTCCTTGGCTCCACCCCCTGCACACCTCCCAGTACTGCCTCTTTTAGAGAATACAGAACAAAGTATCATATTGTGGTGTTAAGTAATTTGGAATTTGTTAAAAAGAAAGCACTAAAATAGATCCCCTGCAGCCAGCAACAATAGACCCCCAGCAGTAACATCAGATCTCTAAACCCTCCAGCAGCCAGCAATAATAGACCACCTCTCTCAACAGTAGATCCCTCTCAGCCCCAGCAACAAATGTCCCCCTAGCAACAATAGACCCCCACTCAAAAATAGATCCCTCCAGCAATCATAGATCAACCAGCAGAAAGCATCCTAAGACCCCCCAGCACCAGTTGCCATTATATACATCCAGAGCTGGAGATGCCGGAACTGCTTCCCCCACCTTCCCACTGATGTTATATCTATTTTTATATTTCATTATTTATGTGAGATATTATATATCATTGGTGTCTCCGGTATTGGTGATGGGATTTTTCCTATGGGGACACCTGTTGTCATTTCCAGTGAAATAGTAAACCGGGTGATTAGTTTGCATATAATGTGAGGCTTTTTTTTATATATTATGAGCTTTGCTTGAAAATTTTCAATAAACAGGAAGCTTAATGGTGCCATTTTTCTAGTTATAGCAGCAAGTGGTTCTGAATCTCCTTGTACCCATAGTTCCCTGGTAGCGGTAGTGTGATCCATATGTGTGAAGTCCCACCCAGGAGGTAACGTGTATGGGGAGAGGAGCCACGTTGTCTGACATCCCCCGCAGATATCTTCTCAGTGGCTCCCATTGATCATTGAGCGCTCAGATATGCACTTAGTGCTGAAATATGTCAGTGTGTGTTTAATATTTCTTTAGTACAGTTTTTAGCAGAGAGCTCCATATCATGTGATTCAGGTGTTCCAATCTCTTCCATATCATCTGATTCAGGTGTTCCAATCACCTCTCAATCATGTGATCCAGGTGTTCCTAATCCCCTCCCAATCATGTGATTCAGGTGTTCCAATCCATTTTATGTGATTACTGTGTCCCAATCCCCTCCCATATCATGTGATTCAGGTGTTTCCAATCCCCTCCAATCATGTGATGTGGATTCAGGTGTTCCAATCATCGTGACCTCCCTATATCATGTGATTCAGGTGTTCCAATCCCCTCCATATCATGTCAGGGATTCAGGTGTTCCAATCAGTGTGTTCCAATCCCCTCCATATCATGTGATTCAGGTGTTCCAATCCCCTCCAGATCACTGTGGATTCATATCATGTTGATTCAGGTGTTCCAAGGTGTTTCCAATCCCCTCCAATCATGTGATTCAGGTGTGTTCTCAATCCCCTCCCAATCATGTCTATTCATGTGCCTCCAATCCACCCACCCATATCATGGGATTTCAGGTGTTCCAATCCCCCATCCATATCCTGTGATTCAGGTGTTCCAATATCCCCCTCTCATTTCATGCTATTCAGGTGTTCCAATGCCCTCGCATGGACACAGGTGTATACATATCAAGCCCCTAGGCATGCAGATGGCTTTTACAAACATTGTGAAAGAGATGGGTCGCTCTCAGGAAGCTCAGTGACTCCAAGGTGGTTCCCGTGTTTCGGTGGCCACCTGGGCAAATAAGTCCATCCGTGACATTTCCTGGCTACTAAATATTTCCACGCTCAACTGTTTGTGGGATGTATAACAAAGTGGAAGAGCAACTGGGAACAACAGCCACTCAGCCACCAAGTGGTAGGCCACGTCACATGACAGGGCGGGGTCAGCGCTCATGCTGAAGCGCACAGTGCGCAGAAGTCGCCAACTGTCTGCAGTAGCTCAATAGCTAAAGACCTCCAAACTTGGTGTGGCCTTCAGATGAGCCCAACAACAGTGCATAGAGAGCTTCATGGAATGGGTTTCCATGGCCCGAGCAGCTGCTGCATCCAAGCCTTCCATCACCCAAGTGCAATGCAAAGCGTATGTGATGGCCGTGGTGTAAAGCATGCTCGCCACTGGACTCTAGAGCAGAGGGAGACGTGTTCTCTGGAGTAACCAATCATGCCTTCTCTGTCCTGCAATCCCAATGGCCGTGTCTGCACTGCATTTGCAGGTGAACGGTACTTGTGACTGCATTGTGCCAAGTGTAAAGTTTGGTGGAGGGGGGGATTATGGTGTCCGGGGCGTGTGATTTTCAGGGGGTTGGGCTTGGCCCCTAGTTCCAGTGAAGAGCACTTTTTAAAGCAACATTTTGGACAATTTCATGCTCCCAACTTTGTGGGAGGAGTTTTGGGGATGGCCCCTTTTTTTTCCTGTTCCAACATGACTGCGCACAGCGCACAGTGCACAGAAGCAAAGGTCCATAAAGACATGGAGGAGCCAGTTTGGGGTGGAGGAACTTGACTGGTCCTGCACAGAGTCCATCACCTCACCCACAGAACACCTTTGGGATGAATTAGAGCAGGAGACTGCAACGCCACAGGCCTCCTCCCCCGACATCAGTGCCTGACCTGACAAATGTGCTTCTGGAAGAATGAATAGGTCCAACCTTCAATAGACACCCTCCTAAACCTTGTGGATGGCCTTCCCAGAAGAGTTGAAGCTGTTATAGTTTGCAAAGGGCGGGGCACAACTCAATATTGAACCCTACGGACTCTAAGACTGGGGGCCCCATTAAAGGTCTTGTGTGTGGGAATGGGCGGGCCAAAACTCAATATTGAACCCTACAGACTAAGACCTGTGGAGGCCATTAAAGGTCCATCTGTGCGAGGACACGGGCGGGGCCCAAATTCACTATTGAAACCCGACGGACTAAGACTTGCGGGGCCATTTAAAGGTATCTCGTGTGTGTGGAAAGGGGCGGGCCAACATCAATAATGAACCCTACGGACTAAGACTGGGGGGGGCCAATTAAAGGTCATCAAAGTGCCGTGGAATGGGCAGGGACCAAGACTCCAATATTGAACGCTAACGGGCTAAGACTTGGGGGGCCATTAAAGGTCATGTGTGTGGAAAGGCCGGGGCCCAATACTTGGGGCAATATAGAGTGATATGAATTACCCTGCTCACTCAGGGGTCATATCCTTAAGGTGAGCAGCCACATTTGTATTCAGTGGTGGAGATCAAGCGTCTTCTGCCTTTGAAAGGGTTACTATGTCATGACTTTTATTCACCAGCTTTTGGTTTATATCCATAGACTTGATTTGTGGACATTTTGATTGTTTTAAAATCTCTTGCGCTGCACTTCACTTATGCTAATACTGTCATTGCGATATTGTGAAATCTATCTTTAGTGTTCAGCTCTCAATTTTGTATATTTTTAGTGAGAAGGCTTTGATTGCGCTGATGGTCTTGTTCTTTTAGTAGTCCAGATTGGTAGCAGACAGGGGTAATCCAGAAGCAGGTCAGGTGGAAGCCGGGTCCAATGGATACCCCGAGGAAGTCACGAGTAGTCTGTGACGTAACGCGTAGGTACGCTAAAGACGCAGCTTCTGGTGCGCTGGTGACGCACTTCTGGCGTCCGCCGCCATCTTGGTATACCAGGAAGTTCCTACACATGCAGTACACCCACACAACATCGGTGAGGAGGGGAGAACTGGTTGAACATGTGAGTGGCGTTTCTTTTGCTGACATTAAAGGAGTCGTGGTTAAATTAATACTGCGCTGAGAGGATTTTTCTTTGACTCACTGGGCTGGTGAGCTATTGTTCTTCGGTCTGGGGGCCCCTTAGGAGATCCACAACGTGAGGTAGGGTTACCTGTCTTTTAGGAATAGGATCCAGGGTGATCCTGAAAGCTGTTTGGTCCCTGGGGTCACCTGGAGGAGGTGAGGAGGCAATCTATCCTCAATAGGAGAAGAGTGTTCACACGGTCACGGAGTACAAGCACCATTTGCACATTGCATGAACTTATACATCACTTATTGTTTCATGGACGCTTTGTTTTGAGCATTTGAGTGGCATTTGAAGTGTGGACACTTTATTGCACAGAAGCACTCTTTGTATATTCCCTTTTTTCTTTTGAAGGGGACTTGCATCTATTTTTTTTAGTGTGTGGGCACAGTTAATAAGTCCTTTTGGAGTGGCACAACTTATTTTATGATCATTTTGTATATTTATAAGTATATTGGCATGATCTAATTTGGCACTTTTACATTGGAGCACTTTTATTGCACTTATTGGTTGAATAGGAATTATCATTTTTAATATTTATAAGAACGATGCACTATTTATGATTATTATACACACTGTCTGGGTACCAGTTCGAGTGTTGGCAGCTTCTAGTTAGGTAGACTTCCTTTTAGCGCAGGAGGACCTTGGTCCATGGGCAGGGGCGGACTGACAACTCATGGGGCCACCGGGCAATATAGGGGATCATGGGGCCCCTGTGTCCTTGCCCAAACTCAAAAAAGCCTATAAAGAAAGGTACCAGGGGCATCTCATGGGGCCCCCTACTGACCCCGGGCCCTCGGGCAGTGCCCGAGTTTTCAAATGGTCGTCCGCCCCTGATCCAGGGTCAATAATGGGATCACTTTGAGTGCCGGAAGAAAGACTGAAGACCAGTAGCTTGTACAGAGTTCAGGTTTAAACAGCCCACTTGGCGGCAGTGAATGCGCACATGCGTGTGCGCAGGGCTTATTTTCAGCTGAAACTTGGTGGAAACTCAGTTCCATCACCTCTGGCTTAGGTCCTGTGCTCCCTGGTGGGGTGTGCGTTTGGGGGGATAAGGGGTTATTTTAGGTGGACATGGCTGAGTTTCTGCATCTATTCTCTGAGAAAAAAAAGTCCTGCATGTGCATGCATGTACATGTGAACAACGATGCCTGTGCAATTAAACGTCTAGGTCCGGAAATATTATATGCATGCTTAGCACATGTGCATTAGCCTGACAACAGACATAGAGTTTCTACAAGCTTAGTACAGTAGCCCAGTTGGGGTGTCCAATTAAGGACAGGTGGGGCTCGCACACAAATGGAAGACGCAGCACCCAGTCAGGGCCCCTCTGTAAGCTATTACTGCTGAGGCAGAGTTGGAGGAGGACACTTTGGAAGTATGAGCCCAGTCCTGCCAGTAGCTGAACAAGCAGGGGCCCGAATCATACAGACACCTGACCTGAGTGTGAGATCCAAGTGAGAGTATACAAAGGATTCCGAGAACTCAGGGTTGGGATCGTTTAAAATGAAGACAGAGCTGTGCAACAAATAGCCAGGAGACTGGAAGATCTTTATGGCTGTGTTGTGGTTGAATATTCCCCATGTCACGGTCAGGGGTCAAGGTCCAGGCTCGGGGACTAGTAGCTACAGCAGTAGAGAGATTCCCACCAACCAGCAGGATAAGTACACAAGCAGATCACCCTGGTGGATGACGCGGACTCACCTGAGGTGCAAAGTATAAGTACTAAATAGTATTCACCAGAGCTCCTGATGGTGGGGTTGGGTTTTGCTGCGTGTTAGTACCAGGTTGTGGCCTTCAGGATCACCTCACCAGGTGGTGAGCAAGCCGGGGTCCAGGACCATATATAGTAGGTTGGGATCCAGCAGAAGTTAAATCAGTAAACAAGCCAAAGGTTGGTGACAAGTGGTAGTGAAGATATGGACGGAAGCAGGAGTGACAAGAGCTAGGTGTTGACTGGAGAGAGCACAACAATCTAGCAAACAGGTGCAAAGGCATGGCTTAAATCAAGAAGTTCATGGGAGGAGCAAAAAGTTCAAGGTTCACCAGAAACAAGGTAAGAAAAATCCAAAGGATCAGACAGGGAGCTGTCCAGCATCTCAGATGGCTCAGGAAGAAAATCCATGGCAGCAGAGGTTGAAGGTTCAGATCCCGATCCTGACACCCTGTGTGGTTAGATTTGATGTTGTCCTACTTAGCTGACAAATGATGGTGGGATGGAAGACCTAACATGCTCCCTATTGAGAAGACAGTGTCATGAAATCTCACCCCACTGACTCCTCATATCTCTCAGGGGCTTCAAATATTCAATCTCTGCTCTTAAACTCCCAAATGCACTGAACATGCCCTGTTATCAGATTTTACCACGTTTAGCAGAGAAGACAACTTGCTGTAATATGAGAAGGACTGTGACACAACAAGGGTTGGTATTATTAGCAGTTTCTGGGGGGGATATCATGATTCCGGATAATTCTCAAGAGATATCAGTCGGCCAACATTCTTAGC